CCTTGCTTTCCGCAAAGAGATCTTTCCCCCAGTTTTAACGTGTGTTAGCCTCAGGATGATATCCTGGATGCCTTCCTCGATTTCATCAGTTATGCAGCTGCCTCCGCTGTAGAAGGGCATGATCTTTTCTTTCACGAGAGCCTGGGCCTCCTTGAAGATGTTCTGTATTTCGAGGCGGTGTGGGTGGTTTGCATTCTGCTCCAACTCTTTGAGAAGATGCTCTGTCTCCTGTGCCGCCCTCTTCCTAGCTTGCTGAATGTCTCCTTTTCCTTCTGTATCTACAGAGTCTGTTTCAAAAAGTTGCTTTGTTAGAATCCTCTCCAGTTTCTTGTAATTCTTGTCATTTGACAGGCCACTGAAGCTGAGTACCTGCTATTCTATACTTTTTACTTCCTTTTGCATTTCCTGAAGCCTGGTAATGGAAGGATGTTGGTTTCCCATATTCATACTTTTGTGTGTTCAGTTGCACACACACTGGGTCTCCCGCGCCATTGCGGCTGGCTGCCTGTACTCACGGCTGCCAGGCCCGCCCCCGGCCGCCGGGCCCTCAGGAATTTTTGTACTTTTGGTTTGGTTTGGTTTTTTCAGACAGGGTCTAGCCCAGTTTGGCCTGGTGATCCTCCTGCCTCAAGCTCCTCAGTGCTGGGATTACAGATGTGCCCAGAATGCCTAACTGAGCCTCAGTTATGATCTCCTCTAACTTGAGGAAGGTGAGATGCTCCCGACTTGAGGAGCAGGGGAATAATGAGACCCTATGGCAGGCAGGAAGGGTGGAGAGAAAAGAGAATGGCATGAATGGGGAGCTGGAGATGGTAAGAGGCACTGCGGCTGCTGTGTCTCTACGTTCTCCGATGCAGAGTGCTGTATCTTCTTTTCACAAAGCTCTGTCCCTACCCCAAGGGCTCCTAGCCCTTGCCATCTTGGGCCTGAGAACACCCCTGGAAGATAGGGACACTTTCTGTCTCCATCTTGCATTTTGGGGAAACTGAGGCTTTGAGAGGAAATGGGATATGTCTACATGTGTGCTTCAGTGTCTCCCCCAGGTGTCCTGATGGAGAGAGGCAAGGACAAACAGCACCAGGCCCGGGAGGGCAGCAGTGTCCAGAGTGGGCAGAGAGAGTGCCCAGGCCTGTATTCCAGTAGGATAAGCAACCTCAGGAACACCAGGGATGCCCACCTGAGGGCACTGCTCACAGCTGTGCTGATGCTGTCAGCTGCGTGCTGAGGGAAGAAGGGATGGGACAGCGTGGGTACTGTCAGAGCCTTGAGCACACTACTCCTGTATAAGCGCATCGCACCTGTCCCCAGGCTTATTTAAACACCCAGCCTCCATTTGGGGAGCATTTCTAGGGCCTGCTGATAGCATCCCAGGATAAGTTACTCCTGAATCGCGGAGTTCTTTGCAGAGTAGGCAAATGAACCTCAAAGATCCATAAGCCTCTGCAGCTGCCTCAGCCCCAATGAAATCCAGCTCATTCCTGCTCTCCACCACCCCTCCCGACACTGCTGCCAGACATGCAGACCACAAGGGTGACCTTTGGCTGGTTCCCCTCCATGTCCAGGCCTTTTATTTATTTAGTATTTTTTGAGACAGTATCTCACTGTGTAGTTCAATGTGGCTTTGAACTCAATAGGTAGCCCAAGCTAGCCGTGAACTCATGGTGATCCTCCTGCCTTTGCCTCCTTCTATATGCTAGGATTAAAAGGTGTCTCCTTTTTCTTATTTATTTGTCAATTTTTTTTAGGGATCAAACTCAGGACCTTCTGCTTGCCAGGCAAGTGCTTATGCTTCTGAGCCATCTCCTTGGCCCAAACTCTTTATATAGTACAGATATTGTGAAATTAATTCTTGTTCTTCCTCCAGGGAACGCCATGGAGACTTCAGCATCCCCCTCCCAGTCTCAAGACAGAAGTCACATCCACGGAGAAGCGGAAGGTCTGCCCTGTGTGTTCACTGGCTCTGTTTCTGGGCAGAAGGCTAGGGGAGAGGGCACTCACGTGAGGTGAAACCCTGCTGAGCTTGAGGGGCACCACAGAGTTGGGACTTTTCCCAGGTGCATCACAGCTGTCCCTCGCTGGGAGGACCCTCAGGTGCTTTCTGCACCTACAGTCACAGGAGGGCATGGCTTGGGTGGCCCTGAGGTAGGTCCTTCAAAGATGGGTGTGGTGCTGCTGGTCCCATGGGGGAGGACAGGAAGAGGTTAGAGCTGCTGGTCTTCTTCCAGCTTCCTGTTGGGTGGTTCCCCCAGACTCCTTGTTCAGAATATTCTAGCTGGAGGCCTCCTAGACAGCCAGGACCTCCTGCCCCTCCCATGGGCCACACAAACCCCTACAGCATTGGTATCCTGGGGGAACAGGCAGGGACACTCACCCCTTTCTGTGTGCCTCCCAGACAGCGAGGCAGAGCTCCACCAGCAAGACAGGAAGGCTGGACTGCTTTTCCGAAAGCAGTATAAAAGAGACGAGTCCTCCTCCTCCTCCTCCTCCTCTTCATCCTCCTCCTCGTCCTCTTCTTCATCCTCCTCCTCCTCTTCTTCAGGTACAGCACAGACCTTCTGGGCTGGGGTTGGCTTAGTGACAGAGCATAGGCCCTGAGCTCCTTCCCCAGCACTGACAGTGAAACCTAAGACATAGTGTATGTGTGAGTGTGCGCATGTGTATGTGTACATCAGAATTATACTCAAGAAAGACACTTTATCCACAGGGTGGGGTGGTGCATTCCCATCATCTCAGCAGTAGCGAGGCCAAGGCAGGAGGGTTGCCTTGAGTCCAAGGCCAGTCTTTGTTACATATTGACTTTAAGGCCAGCCTGGACTACATAGTGAAACCTCAACCAAAAAAAGAAAGAAACAAACACAGAAAAGAAAGCCCAAGGATATAGGTCAGTGGCACAAGCACCTGGCATGCAATGCGTTGTCCTGAGTTTGATTCCTGATACAAAAAAGAGAGAAAAGAACAAAGAACCAAAACGTTGACAACACCACCTAGGAGCATAATCCCTCACACTCCAAGTGACGTACTTGATATACCAGTGCTGTTCTCCTCTTCCTCTCTAAGCCCAGCCACCTCAGTTTGTTCCTTTGTTCTTGGGCACAGCTGTGCTGTAATTGAGCAGACAATTCTGTCCTCTTCTTCCTTTTCCTTTTCTCTTCCTTTCTTTCTTTCTTTCT